AAGAAAAGAATAAAATGTAAATGTGAGCAGTATAATTTAGTGTTTTGTCCTAATTTTGGAAATTGTTCCAATAAACCTTAGTGAGATTTGGTCGAAGGGTGGACTTTAAAAACCTGACTTGGGTTTGTAGTCCCTTGTGCTGATATGAATAAAAAAATGATATCTTCTGCTCTTATCTATCTATATTTCTTAAAGGTGGAACTTTAGCAGACAATTCTGTACTTGGCATGACATATGACTCCTTTAGAATTGATACTGAGGATATCTGCCGTTTTTGGCCAGCACTCTGCTGGAGGCCAGGGAGATCGAAAACAGGTGACAAAGGGGGGTCACGGGGCCTCCGCGTAGCCTGTTTTTGGCTGGCAGAGTGCTGTTGGAGTGCTGCATGAGCCCCCCTGCCAGCCCATTTTGGCTGGCAGAGGCACAGTTCTTTGATATTTCATTTTTTAAAATATACGTATAGGAGTTCCTTTATTTATGATCAGTCACTTAGCAACTGTTTGAAGGTCCAATAGATCTACTGGAAATACTTATGATCTGGATTTAAAGTTCTGAAGGTCACTGCCCGCCCCTGGTCACATGATTGCACTATGGGCGCTTGGCAACTAAGCCAGATTTTCAGCTGTTAGCAGCATCTCACATGACCCTTTTTTGTGACAGCTTTACATTTACTTCTGGTAAACCCCTATCCATAGAAAACCATTAGTTCGTTTAACAACTGTGGACTTGCTTAACAACTGCCACCAAAAAGTTTTTAAAATTGGGCTTGTTATGTGACTGACTTGCTTTATGACCTTCATAAGTTATGATCATGATGGGCAGGCTCCATTGTGGTTGTAACTCAAGGACTAATTGTATCTTGTATTTATGTAAAGTATCTAATGAAATTATACACACACATACAGAGATTGTGTGTGTGTGTGTGTGTATGTATGCCCATATTTGTAGAAAGAAATCTAATTTGTGTTTTACCATTTTAAACTTTATACTTCATGATAATGAAAGATTGTGTAGCATTTCCTGGTCTTTTTTTATTACCGATTTCACTAAGTGTTATGGAACAAAACATGATGTAATGATGAATTTTATATAATACTGATAAAAAAAAAAGCTGGAAAATGTTCAGAAATGTTTTCCAGTCTAGTACAAGGACAGTGGTGCTATTATCGAACACTATAGGAACACTATCTCTTCTGCTGCTGCTATATAGGAACACTATCTCTTCTGCTGCTGACATATAGATAAAATGGTCTCCCTTCTGTATTTGCTATTTTCCATTAAGCCATCTTTGTTTTCAATAGTCAATATTGAAAAGTCTTATGGGACTACTTACTTCTACAGAATGAGAGATAAATTCTGCAAAGTATTTTATTTCATTAAAGGCTAGCTTGCCTTAGTTAAAAAATCTTCTCTTTCAGGCAAAGTGGAAGAAAGAATAAAAGATTCAGTTGATTTTTCCTTCCGATCAGTAGAGAAAACTTAAGTTGCCTTTTCAGTTTATCTTGCCATGACTGTGGGCCACCAACAGTTTTCTTGCAAATGAGAAGGGATGTCTTCATTACCTCCCCTGCCCCTCCTGCAAATGCAGATTCCAATATGTTTCATATTCAAATGTACATTTTGGGGCTTGTAGGGTTCAAGGATTGCAGTCTAGTTTTCCTGATATACCTTAATATTTTCTAGGTAAACTGTTGCCTGCATTGGCGATTATATGAAATAGCAGGATATATTATAAATAATAATACTTATTATTTATAATTTAGTGTATGACATACAATGTCATGGAAATCTACACATGCTAGACACACAATAATGATAGCCCAGAGTGCTGCTTCATTCTGTTCAGTACTTATGTGCCTATCTTTGCTGTACCATGGGGGTGCATTAGCTTTACACTAGCTATCTAGTGGTGCTTAGGTTGCGAGTCTCACCTCACCTCATCCACAACGCCTTTCATCTAGCCAGATTCAATGCCAGTTTCTGCTATCTGTGCACACAAATGCAGCTTGATTTTTCCTACTGAAGTGATACCCATTTATCTACTCACAACATTGCATGCTTTCCAATTGCTGGGTGGACAGGGGCTAGGAATCAAGCAACAGGAGCTCACTCCTTTTTACAGAACCAATATTCTATCTTGCAATTCCAGCGTCATTAGCCCTCTGTGCCACCATGCCCCGTAGGATATTACTATAATAACAACAACAACAACAACCTGGACTGGAAAATGCATAAACGTTTGAATACGTACCACGCTTTACATCCACAAAGTGACATTGACAGGTTATGCCTGCCAAGAAGAATAGGGGGCAGAGGGCTATTGCAAATCCATCAAGCTGTAGAAGAAAAATGAAGCTTGAATGATTATGTAAACCAAAGTACAGAAAAATTGCTGCAGGCTGTGAAAATGGAGAACATATAAAAACAACAGAAACAAAGGGAGAATATAAGGAAAAATGGACATGGCTTAAGAGAGGAACCATCAAGAAAGAAACGGAAGGTTTAATACTTGCTGCTCAAGAACAAGCACTACAATCTAAGGCCATGAAAGCGAAGATACAAAAATCCACTGACAATCCAAATTGCCAACTTTGCGACGATAAAGTCGAAACTGTTTCACACTTAATATGTGAGTGCAACAAAATCACGCAAACTGACTACAAAGTTAGACATGATCGAGTTGCTAAATTAACTTAAATTTATTTAAATTTACTTAAATTAAATTTAACCTTAGACTTTCTACTATTGATCTCACCCCTTTCCTAAGAAGTCTGTAGGGGGTGTGCATAAGCGCACCACCGTGCCTACTGTCCCTGTCCTATTGTTTCTTTTATTTTTCTTATATGTATCCATGTATTCATAACTATGTTTTTACTTATACCTATTATCTTGTAAGCAATTGACAAACCAAATAAAATAAAAAATAAATAATCCACTTGTCATTATGTAAAAAATATGCCCTACCTGTATCTGAAAAGTCATGGGAACATAAAGTGGAAAAAGTTGTTGAAAATGAGACAATGACAATCCTGTGGGACTTTCAAATACGGACTGATTGCCATTTGGAACACAACACACCAGATATTACAGTTGTCGAGGGCCAAAGCGTACAATTTATTGATATCACTGTACCAGGAGATGCCAAAGTTGAAGAAAAAGAACTGGAAAAAAATCACAAAATATCACAACCTGGCCATCGAAACTACATGGTTATGGATGAAACTTGTAACAGTGATACCCATTGTCATTGGGGCACTTGGTACTGTGTCCAAGAATTTTACAAAACACATAAAGAAATTGCAGCTTCTTGCAAAAACACCAGCAGAACTGAGCAACTTGGAACATCATATATTTTAAGAAGATACTTGGACACTGGCAGCAGCCCGTATCAACCATTAGCACCAGTCACTGGTATTTGTGATACATTTTTAAATGTTCAGTTGACTGAGTTTCATATTTTAATAATAATAATAATAATAATAATAATAATAATAATAATAATAATAATAATAATAATAATAATAATAATAATATAATATACAAAGACCTACAAATAGAAATAGAATGACTATGGCAAAAGCAATCAAGGATAGTACCAATAGTAATAGGCGCCTTGGGTGTAGTCCCAAAACAACTGGAGCACCACTTGAATACCATCGGCATTGACAAATTTGCCATCAGTCAATTGCAGAAGGTTTCTTTACTTGGAACAGCTTCTATCCTGCGGTGATATCTATAGCACCATCAAACATCCAGATTTACCTATCTCAGGTCCTTGGTAAGGACTCGATAGGTAGACAAAAATGCCAAACCCAATCTGAAAATCTAGCTGACTGTGTGATTAACAACAGCAGCAATAATAATAATAATAATAATAATAATAATAATAATAATAATAATAATAATAATAGAGCCTGTACAGTCCAATCCAGATAAAGGGAAGAATGGGGAAAATGTACTTGCAAGATTGTGTTCCTATAACAGTATAATAAATGTATTAGAATTCATACTTTTGGTTTTCCAATCTGATCTAATCTGAAGGACTGACACGTTGGGACAGATTGTACTGATTCAGAACTGGGTCAGTGTATTTGCTTCTCTGAATACTTATCTTTTTTTTCTTGAAGTAACCAAGATCTGGAGAAATATTACCAAGTTTAAGAAGAGACCAGCTATTGAGTGGAACAGCAGAAGTTACTAGCGAAGCTGTCTTCAAAACCAGCTTCCACTTTTATTTTGGCATCATCTTTCAGAATTTCTAACCAGCTTTCTGGAAGGTCATAGAAACTACAATTCCAGTACAACAAATTGGATCATAGGCAGCTTTTCTAGTTATTATTCCTTTGCTAAAATAAAATGAAAAAAGTACCTAGAAGTAAGTATTATTTTAATCTTGGAGGAAGCACAGATATAATTGCTCAATGTGGGATGTAGAGGACTTAAAAACCAAAATAAAATAATTACTTCAGTCATATACTAATAACATAAAACCATTACACTACACCAGTTCTACTAATTCAATACAAATTTAATGTACTAAAAGTTATTTCAGTCAAAAAGAAATAATACTGTAGGAAATTTATTTTTAACAGGTATAATAAGGTAAAATATAGCAAACATGTAATTTGTTTTATAAAAATGAAAGAAGTTGCTATAGTGCCCTCAGTAGTGTGATAGATTTGTATGAAGGTTTTTATCATATTTCTCTATATATTTCTCTATCTCTCTTTCCCTCTATTGTCAAAATACTTATTTCTCAGTTCCATTCTGGATTCTGTGCATTCAATTCACAGTAAGAGAACCAAGATCTTATGCTAATTGGATAAATCAGATTTAACAATGCAGTCAGATAAACAGTTGTGGTAGCTGCTACCATAGCAACGTCATCATGTTCATGTCTTCTTCCCTCCCTCCCTCCCTCCCTCCTCCCTCCCTCCCCTCTACCCCTCCCCCTATCCAGTAAGTGACATATTTGCTGATAGTCTGTATGTTTGCAAGGGTTTAATGGCACAGCTCTTTGCTCTGAAGAAGGATTCAAAATGATGAATGAAGATGCAGCTCAGAAGAGTGATGGTGGGGAGAAGTATAATGGAAGTAATCAGAGGAAGAAAAGACCCAAGAAGGTAATGTAGATGGGAAAAGCAAGATGTGTGATAGAAGAGTCAGGCAGTAGGAGTGGTCTGAAGTCTTAAAAATGAAGGTGTAAGGTCTAGCAGCCCTTCAACCTTTGTATTTTCATACCATTAGTGATTTTCATGTTGTGTAAAACATGATTATGTTTTTGGTGGATGGTCCTGTGTGATATTTCCGCAAAAAGAAAGCAGTAACAGCAGTGTAATCATTAAAGGCGTTATGGCGGGTAGAAGTCTCTGGTGTGTAAAGGCTGTAGTAGTGGTTTGTTGTCATTGCTGATAAATAGCTAATTTGCTGATAAAGAACACAGATTTTGAGTGTTGTTAAACGTTAAACAATACAAACATTAATCCCAATTTGCAGTGAACAAAAGGGCTTTTAAAAACACATTGGTGCCCATTTCTTTAATTACTATTGTTATGCCTTGCAATCTCAGTTTTGTGGTATCATGCTCTGTGTTTTTAAGAAGATAATAATACCGTTGTGATGGAGAATACTGTGAATGAATGGTTGGGCATGGCACCTTGCTTTTTCTGAATTTGACAGCAGGTATTTTCTGATCTTTTGAGATTTATCTCAAATATATTTAATCAGACAGGTAAAAAACTACAGAAAGCTAAATAATTATTCCCCCCCTTTTAAAAAAAAATGCATGTTACTATATGCTGGTGATAGTAGGCTACTACAATACATGGCCACACCCAGCCAGTATCTCTGGGAAAGAATACATTTATTAAACCATTTTCAGACTATAAGTAGAGATGCATTTTTACTTAGAAGCAATTGTATTATATTTGGTGAGACTGACTTCTAAATATTTCTGAGTATGACTGTATGCCCGGTATTATTAAATTAATATTTACACAGCTTCATCTGTCCTTACATTGAGTTATTTTTAAACCTGTTTCATCTACATGATTACATTTATTGGTGTGTAAATATAGATTGCAAAAATGAAAATTAACTTCAGAATAAATATCAGGTTGCATGCTGCCTATCACCACATATCTTCCTACAAGAGTAGCTATAATGAAACTCCCTAGTTATATCTTGATGAAGATGCTTGGTTTTGGTAGAGACTATATAATCCACAGAGGGGAAATGCAGCAAATAACCACTGATACATCTTACAGTCATTTGTTTCATGTTTGTGTATAATTTATATAATGCAATAACATAGATTTCCAAAATATAAACCTCTGTATTAAATAGGAACTTGAGAGGAACTCAGTACATCAGGATATAAGAAAAAACAAACATGTCAAAACCCTTGAAAATGAGAAGATAATTTTTTCCATGCTTATGTATCAACTTTCTAAATTTAAATAGACATTTAAATGTATATTATAGAAAGAATACCTATTAGTCCAACTAAAGAAAACAAAAGTAGCGAAAGATATGGTAGTCCCACCCTGCTGTATAGTGAAGATTATTGTAGTATACCATAGAATTACTGATTTATATCTAAGCAAAATGTATTTATCCCACATTATTACAAATTATAGGTTTACCCCTTTACAAAAACTAGGATCCAATTTATTTTAAAGTACATTAGTAATCCCAACATCAATGAAAATATCTTTTAATGATCCAAGTGGGATTTACTATATTAAATAAGGGTATTTTTTGCCATTATAATTCCTGATAATTTTAGGCATACAATGTTGCCCTTGATGTTTTAATATCAGTAAGTTCAAAGGTGCTAACAAAGTGTATTCCTTAGCTGTATATGTAAATGTCTGGCTATATTTCAAAAGATACACACTATATTATTTATATATCACGATTGGTCAGATACTCAACCAGATGTTTAGATTAGACTTGGCATTTTTATTCACAAGGCACCTGGGATAAGCAGATGTTGTTTGATGATGTTAAAGTTATTGTCACGGGATATAAGCTGTTTCAGGTAAAGGTGCCTTTTGCAATTGATTTGTGATGATTTTGTCAATCATGATGGTGTTAAAGTGCTCCAGATGTTTTGGGATTCTACCCAAGATGTCTATGACTATTGGCACTATCTTTGCTTTCTTTTCCACAATCCTTCTACTTACAAGTCCTGGTATTTTGTAATTGTCTCCAATTTTCTTTTGGTTTCTGTTGCCTCCAAGTATTACAGTGTCCACTATCCAGACTATTTTGTCTTCTTTTATTAATAATTGTCTGTTTGCATTTTAAAATTCCAGATTGCTTTAAGCTTTTTCATTTTCTATTGCTTTGTGTATTTTGTAGTCCCATCAGTTCTTGCTTACAGGTAAGTGGCATTTCTAGCAGAGACTTCAGTGCTTCAGAAACTTATGCCATGTTGTTGTTTGTAGTCAATCTGTGTGATTTTAAGAAGCTGACTAGAGGGTTCACTGTTTCTTCAGTTCCTTTACAGAGGCATTATTTGCTATATATTCTCAATTTTTGCTTTGTATTCATTTGTTCTTAAGGCTTGGTCTTGTGCAGCCAGAACTGACTCCTCTGTTTTTTCAATTTTCCTGTTCTTATTTATTGCCAGTCATTGTTATCTGCTTTGCCTGCTTTTTTGTTTGTACTGGCCATGCAATACTTTGCCTTGTCATGTCTTTTTCTATTTTTCCTTTGGTCTTTTTTGTAGGCCAGTTTCATCTCTTGAGTATTCAGTAAGCCTTCATGGTGTAACTAGCTCAGTGCATCTTCTTCACCATCCTTCAGATTATTATTATTTAAATTTATTGGCCACTCAACTGCATTGGACTCCACATTGTTATTGTAATTATTGTAAAGGTTGTTCCAGTTGTGTATACAACACACATGAAAAGGGTGGGGTTTCAGTCATACAACTATGGATGCTATCTTGACTTTTTTGACTGCCTTGAAGAAACTCCAGTGTCATTCCAAGAAAGGAGAAAGAAATATAGGCCAGTCACTCTCTCTCTCTCAGCCCAACTGACCTCATAGAGTTGTTGTGACCTTCTCCTGCTTTGTGCCCTCTCTAACCAAGCTGACATTTCAAAAGGCAGAATTTGTGATTTCAGGGTAACAATAGTGTTAACTATTATCGCTTTCAGCTCTGTTTAACTGTGGCCGCACATCCTGAACTGTTTTGCAAGAATGTCCTGGCAAATGGTTATAGTCAGTAAGCTAGCAAGTGTACCTATTCACACACTCACACAATGTTTAAAAAGTGAGTAAGGTCTTGTATGACAGACAATCCACAATTTGAAAGTGTACAATTCCATATGCTGCAGGAGTACAGGCATCACAGAGTTTAGGCAGGTTTGGGGTAAACAAACTGGGGTTTGTTTAAACAAACAAGAAGCAAACAGGATTCAGGAACATGAGAGCACAAAACCAGAGTTTGCTGCAATTGTTTCTAATGGAAAAGTTGGTTTGGACATTGGCAATTTCATTTCTTGAAATGTTGTGCAGAACATCTCTGCAGCGCTCATTGGAGCTCCCTGTTTGTTTTCAAGAGTGTTCATAAAAGGTATGTTTGATTTCCAGACAGAGACTGTGGTATATTATGGTTATGTTCATACAAACAATAATACTTCCTGGCTTTGTCTTCATTCTACATGTGAAGGTGTGGAAGCACCAAGAGTTTCTTGTGGGATGAATGTACTGAATGGAATGTTTCAAGCTGGAAAAAGCAGTTTTTAACTTGATTTCAGGCGGCACCCACACAGCCTCTTTTCATCCTCCCTGCTGTGTAACTTATAATAATGCTTACTATTGCCACCACCATTGTCAGATGCCTTCCTCCAGTCAGCCACCATTAAGTTCTAGGCAATAATTATTTTTAACTCTTCTTTCCTGTTGCCTTTCAGACAGTCCACTGAGAAGCTGACTAAGAGAGTTTTGGGGGTAGGCAATACCCCTGTCTTTGCTCCAGATCTAGTGCCATTTGCAGTCCTGTTAATAATGATAACTACTGTACATATACTTGTCATTTTGCACATCACATAACCAAGTTATGGTAATATCTACCATGGAACACTACCTCCAAATCTGATTTTAAATTGACTGTTCCATAATTTTTGAAGAAGTCCATTTAGAAAATTCTTGTCTAAATTCATAATTTAGGGTTAAAGAATAAGTCATTTGGGTTTGGATGTAAGAAGCAATTTATAAGAGGTAACCTCAAACCCATCCAAGTGTCCTAATGCATAGTGTAATATTTGTAAGATTTACTAGATGGGGTTGTGTAACACCAGTTTTTAAAAATCTGTTTGTTGTTCTGTGAAATAGATTTAGCTAGGAATGGTTGCTTGGACAGTTTTGTCCATAATACATAGCTACATGTGATCATTTTGTTTTTACATTTGAATATTAAATCTTCATTATATCTTCATTATATCTTCAAATGTGCTGTAAGACACATTTGCTATTCATGCTATTTCAGTAGCTGTGTTTATGTGACTATAGCAACCTATAAGAACTTAAGGTACAGTAAAATATGAATGTAATATTTGGGAAACCTTATAAATACACTTATTGGAAATTCAACAGTCTTTAGCATAGCCCTGATTCAAACTAATTGACTTTAAAACAATGAAGAAAGATGACTGATGAATTGGCAATTCCATTAAGTTTTAAATAGTTTACTCCAGTTGATAAGACTGTGGTGACTGCCAGCGAGTGAGAATGCAAGCAAAGATTAGAAACACATTCTGTTCCTACTCCAAATGTCACTGCTTCATCAGAGGCATAATACTTCAGTTAGAGAACACAGATCTTCTATTCAGCATCATGAATAGAAAACCATCAGGATATTTTATGGGAAATATAATGTCCATTTCTTCAGTACAGGGATTGGTTGCACTTGGAACAGCTGTAGGAAATTTGAAAACCCAATGGTTTTTAAAAGGAAAGTTTCCCATGCAGAAAAGGTCAATAGATAATACTATTGTCTACTTTTTGGATACATAAGTTGGACAGGTTTCTTCTCCAAGATATTTGGGGTCATTTGCAATGGCCGTCCTAAGTCTTTTCCCATGGCTGAATCGAAGTACTCTCCACCCAT